TTTTGCAAGAGCATGCACACTCCAGCTGTTCTCTGTGACACTGTGACAATGAGAAGAAAAACAAAGGAAATGGATATTTCTGAGCATTTCTCCATGGACACTCATTCTATCTAACACTTATGCAGTTAACTGCACATACATTGTCTCCACTTAGCACTTTAATTATACCAAAATAATTTAATTATACCAAAATAATACAAATAATACAAAAAAAAAATTATACCAAAAAAATGTTGGTTGTTAGATGAAGATCTGACAAAAAAAAGGTCCCAGTTGATAAACCTTTTGATCTCATTCTCTTTGCCTATGTTCTAAGGAAAACAGATTGCGAGTAAACGGTGATCTGATTATTTTCTTCTTGTCCCACCAAAGAAGTGCAGTGGAACAAAGGATTCAGTGTTCAGGTGAGTCCTGGCCTCAGGTGAGACCCACCTGGCAATGCCTCAGCTCTTTTCTGGAAAGGAACCAGAAGCAAAAGTGACAACTATATCCGTGTACCCGACTGATGGGAATCAGCTGCCACTTGTAATGTAAGTACAGAACAAAACAGAAGCACAGTGGTAGCCTGACCTGCTCCTGGAAAAGGAGGAGTTCTCTGTGTACCTGGGCATTTTTCCAACCAGGCATTTTTCTATGTAGGCTTTGTCTCAGTTATCTGTGCTTATTTTACTTTAGGACTGGATCACAGCAACAGAATGCTAGAAAATTGCTCTCAGGCCACGGTATGAAAACCTGCTTAGCTGAGATCCAGGGTGGCCTCCAAGCTTTTCCCAAGGTGACTCCACAGGCCTGAATTTCACTTCTAGAATTGAATTACACCTGTGTCTTTCACCCTTCTGTCCTAGAACCCACTTCACATCTCAGATAAAATCCAAGACACTAATTTTTACTCAAAACATCCGGAATGGTCTTTGGGACATGGTGGGATACCAAAGAGCCTGTGATTCTTTTTGCTCAATGCAGTCTTATTTAAAATTGGCAGCAGCTTTTGAACTAGAAGCCCACCTTTGCTATAAAAGGACATTGCCTGCAGTGAGCTCCATTAGCTGGTATATGTATAACTCTTCAGGGAACCTTTTTCTCCAAAGCTGGGCTGAGAATCAAGAAAAGTTGTTCTTTACTTGGTAGGTCATGTTTCTTCTGTTCACTTTAGCCCATTGTTTTGAGTTTCTGCTCTGGATACCATGCATGTAAGAGCAAACTAATTCTCTATTAGCCTTTGAAGAGAATAGGGAGCACCAGCCTCAAAGATGAGGAAAATCTCACTTTACCCAAAACATGCAGCAGCCTGGCCAAGCACGGATGTTGGTGCCTGCCACTACTGCTGCTGCTGTTTTCTCTGAGAGACAAGGCCCACTGTTCTGATTCAGCACCTCCTCTTGCCCACAGCTCCTGAGATTGTACACACTTAGCTGTGTGCAGACACAAACACATCCCCCATTGCCAGTGTATGTCCCCAGGGGGGCAAATGAAATGTAGCACATGATGAGCAGGGCATCAGCTTGTTGGAAATCATGGTGTGTCCCCTGAGAATCAAAACACAAGACATAACCATCCGACCTTTATCTCCTTTATATTAGAGAGGTGCATATAGGTGGTGAAGAATAGAAACTTCTCTGTTGCTCTGGGGCAATGGGTTTCTCTGGAACTTTGAAACCCATGAGGTCATGTTCACTGCAAACAAAGGCAGACAATGCACTGTTGCTTCCTGCAGACCCTGTTCAATTTGTGCTGCGGCGTGTGAGATTGCAAAGATCAAAGAGATGGAAAACAGCAGGGGTATATAAACATATTACTACACAAACATAATGCAAATAGTGCATGTAGAAAGAACAGTTTAACCTTATTTCACTTTCTTCTGCTTTCAGAAAAACATCACATCAGCATGGTCACTCTGGCTGGTGTTGGAGCAGTCCTTTTGTTGTGTCTCCTGTGACAATTTCTGTGGCCATGTAGGCAAATACAGCACTAACATGGAGGGTGATACAACAAGAATGCCAATGGAGAGATTTCCCTTGTGCTTTGGTGGGACATGGGTGAACATTTTTAACTGAACCAGGTCAAACTTTCAAGGAAGTGCTGACTTTCCCATCTCCACCATGTTTACAATGTTCATCTCAAAGACAATATGCAGAGGATGGGGACGGGAATGGGGTGGGAATGGGAATGGGAGTGAGGTTGCTCTGCATCCTCAGAGCAGAAGTGACAACTCCTACTAGAGCCTCAGCTTAGCAAAGATGAAAGTGACTTGTCCCACAGAGATGACAGATCCAGGCTGCTTTAATACAGCAGTCTTCTCATCTCATTGACTGCCATTACACACTCCTTTAGTCTCTAGCATCAGCTCCTTCATACCACTGTAGTAACTTTTTTATTTATAGATCTCAAAGTACTGTATTAATGGAGGAAAATACCTCACAATCCCCCCAGCCTGGGGTCTCCAACAAGTTACTGCCCTAAAATGTGCTTATCTGTTTCATATTCAGCTTGTACGGCTTACTTACACTTGCCCCAGAACTCTTGCAAAATACAACCAAAATTTCCAGCAAACATCCATATATTAACTTATCTCCTCTTAACTCTCCTCTAAAGTAACAAGACATCAAAGAAGACATCCTTAGGTCTGTGCACATTTGAGAAATAACATGTAAATGACAGAGAAGGGAAACCAACAATGAGGCAATCAAAACATACACTTGGGACTGGAAGGGGAATAAAAATGTTCAGAGCTCTGCTTTAATTCAGGAGGCCATTCCTATTCAGAAGCAGAGGTAAACACGACCACCAGCATGACTCTGAACCTATGTTTTCTGGTTTCAATTTGGGCTAGAGTCAGCAGTTCCAAGATCATTCTCTGCTTGTTCCCACTTAACAGTTCAAAATGTCTACCCACACCTTCCCACAACTGCATGCCTTTTTTAATTTATTTTTTTTTTAATTTCAGTATAATTTTTTCACTTTGCGTCAAACTTTGCCTTTAGGACAATTATTTAGCTGTATTTCATATAGTCCTGTTGTGCTTGCTTCTAATAAATCAATCATTTTTATACTAAACAAAAATTCTTGGTGGCATTACGAATGTCCCACAATATATTCACAATCCGATAATCTATGCTTTCTATTTACAATTTGCTTTCTGCCTTCTGCTTAAGAGCAAGATGGCCAATTTCCAGTCATAGGCATTCATGTGATCAGGATCTCAGAGCCACAGTAGGCCACAGCTTGGCCCTTCCTAATGCTCTGTGTTTTCCTGGACTGAGCTTCTCATAATCCAAAATATCTACAGTGTCTTTTACATCAATGGCAAATTCAAGGATGCAAATGCAAGATTTTCTTCCATAATACATACAGCCAACCTATGGGTTGATTAACTTCAAAAGATGTTTTGATAAATAGATAAAAAGTCAAGTTCCAAATTTGGGACCGTTTTTCATAATCATTAAAAGAATATTATTAAAATATTGAGCAATACTAAAATAAAGTCCAGTTTCAAATCTGTTGCAAAAAATTAAACCCATGCAATTATAAGGACCTGAAATCATTGAAGGAATTCAGAAAATTATGCACTTCTTTAGAGAAATTTTTTCAATTAAAAGGGGGTCATAGCTTCTTGATGATTCTTGAACACATTGAGAACCTTTAGCACCAGCAGTGAGAAATCCCTGCAGCTCTCAAAGCACTCCTGAAAAACAGGTTTGACTTTTTATCTCAGATAATCTTTGTGGTGAGACTCTCAGGAACAGCTGTCTTTGTGTCAAAATTAAGCGTAAGTACTCACCTCAAGGCCACAAAAAAAAAAAAATCTGCAGAATGCAAAGAAGGCATAGAAATTCTGGCCTGGGGTATTGTTTTTCAAATGACCACACAGAAGGAGACACATAATTATGCAAAGTGTTAAACTGAGTTGGTTATATAAACCAAGCTGGTTACAGGCAAGTCATTCGAATAATAAGTTTTTTTTACTGATTAAAAGCAGGCTGTCATACCTGGATCCTGAGTTATCTTTAGTTAAACACCACTTAAATCCACATTAAGTCACTGTGGTTTTGTCAACAGATTTTAGATTGAGTCAGTTCTCTACAAATGGTTATTTACTCTCCTAAAATAAGCACTATTTTATATGACTGTTGGATAAAGAGCTCTGTGAGTTTAATCAGGCACCACTCAAGAGTCACCAAACAAGCTTGAACAAATGGTATCCAATATTTGTCATAAAAATATTTACACCAGTTTCTCCAACCTAGTGTTCAGTGCCATCTGCAAAATGAGCAGAAAAAAGTTTCCCCCCCTGAGGCAGGAGTAAGCAAGCAGTCATTTGGTAAGCTCTACTTACAAAAGTTAAATGTGATGATGACACATCAGTTAACTTACGGGGAAAAGCAAGGTCTGTAGCTCTGACCCCTTCCTGGCTGGGCAAGAATTTTCAGAAATGCTTTCTCAATACTGTGCACCAAGCTGAACGTAAGATGGGTAAAGACAGGGGTATGCCATCACTTGTGCAGCAATCAGCATAAACACAAGCTTAGGGAAAACAGCTTTTGGCCCTTGGTCTTTTGTTGTTCAATTGAAGACAACCATGAACAACTGTGAAAAAAGCTGCAGCTAAAGAGGTAGATACAGCACTACATGCTGAATACAAAAATAAACATAGTCTGATTTTGAAATTTAAGGGGGGAAAAAAGAATCCAACCACATTCAAATTCTCTGTAGGTCAAGAGAAAGTTTGTTTTTTTGATTTTGTTTGAAATGACATTTTTCCAACACCCAACTTCAATAAATGCACCTTTTCATATAGAAAATAACTCAGCACAGCCTCTCCTATGAAAATATTTTTCTCCTGGCAGAACCAGGTTTCATGCCTAACCTCAGATGGTCTGACTACTTTGAGAACAATCAGCCACTTTGATTTATTAAACAAACATGAAAAGACATTCATTCTCCTTACAAAGCAGTTTTCTTCAGTCTTGGTAACACAGACAACAAAATAAAAAAACCCAGGGTTGTTTTGCACTACTTCCTTTAACTTTATTGAGTGTCAATCTACACAATTAATATAAATTTACTTCATTCTATGAAGATCAAGACATTTTACAGTATAAAATTCCCTGAGATACAATATGAAATTTAAGGGATCACATAATTCTCTATTCCATTTACATCATAATCAAAAAGTAATGGTAATTCTTCTCCTTATAAAACCCAGAAGATAATAATCTTCCTTTCTCTCCCTCCACCCCAATATTTTAAGGCATGGAATAAAAACTTTTTCAAAACGTATTCAAGGAAACTTTTCTATTTAAGATAGAAAATAGCTTATCCGATTTTTACAGCTGGATTTTATACATCATCTGCAATGCCTTGTGGAATCTGGTACCCAATATACAATCCAGTTCACTCAGGCAAACTTTATCATTGAACTAGAGCTCTAAAAAACGTATTACAAAAGCCAGTCCTTTGCCTATAACAGTACACTATTAGCTTGTGGTGTGGATGACCAAAAACCAGAAATTTATAGAAATTCTGTAATACTGATTTCAGAAGGTATAGGCCTGGGCTGAGTTTCCTCCCAAATGGAAAGCCACAAATTTGCAACATCAATGTAAGAATGATGAAATTAGAAAAGGCTTCTCCTCTCCCAATGCATCTATTCTGCAATAATTATTACAAATCTGCAGTTTTCACTGTACAGCTCTTGAAAATCCTCAATGCACAACTTACAAATACTGTACAATTCTGATCACTTTACACAAATGATGCTTTAATTACTTTGTAGCTTTTCTCTGAATTTTACAAAAATATTTCCTCAAAGATTTCTACTCTTCTATTTAGTGAGGTTGAGAAAAAAAATATTAATGTTTGCGATTTCTGGAAATTCCCATGCTCCTGTAGGCTGATCTTCTGCATGCAGCATTACTAATGACTACACAGAAGAACTGTGTGCCTGGAAATTTTCACAAAATGCTAAAAAAATTAGAAGGACTGAAAAATATGCACTAGTTTCAACAGACTGATAAACAGTAGTGCAATATTAAATATTATTTCATCACTTTTAAGATTGGGTTTTTGTATACAGTTATGCGAACTGAACAGAAAAAAAAAATATTATAAATTCAATGGAAAAGAGGGAACCTATCATACTGACACTTAGGTATTACTGTTAATGCTATAACTAAATTGGAGTTTTTAAAATACCAAACCCAGTATTATGGGAGTAGTAACTACTGATAGAGAAACAGATGACCATGCCATGAAGAACACTCTTTTATTTTAGATAATCACTTTATACCTCTTGAAGTTAAAGTGCAGCATTAGGAATAATCCCTAAACCAGGACACTACTATATCCCACATTGCATAGACTGTTTCCACTCCCTTCCCAATAAATATTCTACAGCAGCTCTGGCACTGTCAACAAAAAGGTTCATCAAGTACTTTCAGCCAGTCCTCCTTGCACAAAAGCAGAAGGGATTAATTGCAGAAACCTGCAAGATCTGAACAGGCAAAACTGTGCAAATTATTAATGAACTTCATAATTATTAGGTTTTTTCCAGTAATGGCTTGGTTCCGTGCTTACCTAATCAGGGGGAACATCTAACTAGAAATAAGTTACAGTAGACTGCCAGCTCATACATCTTAAAAGCGCTCATCCAACATCCCATATTGCTAAAATCACATCTAATCCTTCTCTAACCTAAATATGACTCACAAATGCCAGTGAGGTTTCCTGTCCTGATGCCCATCTTTTATTTGCAACCAACTTTCTTCTTTTCCCACCTGTTCTGTGCCCATGATTTTATTCTGAATGCAGTCTCTGAGTAACTCCATGGATTAAAAAGCAGCAGAATGAATATCTTATTCATTTGGGCAGGTCTCTTGTAGGTTGCCTTTTTTTTTTGCCACCGAACTTCATAGCTGTGAAAGACAGGGAGGCTGAGCTTGGTAAGGATGTGTAATTGTAACTGAAGTTTCTTTCTGGCTTTGGCTGAGCAAGATTACATGTAACCAAAAAGTAACCACACATCTACTACTAGCATGGCTCCAGCAAACCGTAGGAGTCTAAAAGGGAATAATTGCTGTAAATGATCCTGACAGGCACTGAGCAAAGGGAACTCTACCTTAAGAACTTATTTCTTGGTTGAAAAACTGAGCCAGAAAAAGATCTCAAAAACCAAAGGAAGATAAAATAGTAAATCCTTCCCTTTTTATATTCATTCCTCACACAATCTGTATTTTACCAACAGTATAGATCTTATTCTATAAAGTAATTTTTTCTTGAATGGAAGTGATTTGGGAGTTTGGTGGTTTTTTGGTAGTTATTATTTTAACAACAACAAAACAGCATTCTGACTAGTCTGTCCCCCAGCAGAATTTTTGAAAATGCATGCCATAACCCAAAAGAGCTGCTACACAACAGCACTGTCTACTGATACTTGAGAAAAAATGTCAGCCTTTCTGTATATGTATTCAGTACAACAATAAAACCCCTGCCATTCTGAGCCTTTCCCTGCATTTTCCTGTATGGCAATAATTTTGCAGAGAAAAACACGCAGATACCTGAAAACATTTTCTAATTCCTGAATAAAGGGAGGGTGGAAATGTTCCAGCTTTCTTCCCTACAGTCTGTGTTTTCCTGTACTTAAAGTCCTACTCTACTTTCATACAGGATAAACATGCCTATAGTTTCAGCAGGTGTTAAGAGAATACTTTACATCATCTGAGCTGTTTGTCCACTCAGACTTAGTCCCCTCCATACGCTTTTTTTCCCCTAAGTGGAACAATTATTTGGTTCAAAGCATTATGAGCAGGCTGCTGCAATTTCAAGCATTGCTAGAAGGTGCTACTGTATCACGAGATTCTTACATTCAATACTTGCGGCTCAGAATTTGTCTGTAGATAGTTTTCACAAGCACAAAAAACAGTTAAAAACATTCATTTCTGTCTTAGTATTACAGAAAACTAGCACTGATCTGAGAGCAGAGGAAAGTTTCGTGGTCCAGGAAGTTGTCATAGCTGCCAAAATTGGTTTCAGCTGTACAGCTGAGGAATTTGGCATCGGATATTTATGTTGAGCTGTGCAGAACTTTAGAAGTTCTGTAACTGTACAACTTTTGGAAATTTAACTTTGCTCTTCAGCAGTCATCTGGCATAATGTCTCTTTGTACCTTTATAATTTTCTCTTGAATAAAAATCTTCCTTTTGTAGGCTTTTCACAGCTTGTTTTCCTGTACCTGTATGATTCTCCAACATGATGTCAGCCTTCTGCGGCTAATGCCAGCTACCTGGGCTAATGATCTCTGTAAGACCCATCCTTCCCGACACCTTGGCGCTTGGCCTCACCCGCCAGGAACATCAGCTCTCAAACCAGCTGGCCAGATTTCGAACAGTCTTGATTTGATTCCCAGCTGCCCTAACAGCCTCGCAGACCTTGCAGAAATGCTCATCCCAGAACGAGGTGACGTGGACTTCGTATTTCTTCCTCCAGGCAAAGTACCGCCTGTAGTTGGGTTTGTTTTTATCGAGGAATTTCAGGTAGGTGGCCAGCAGCCTGGGGCTGGGGAAGTCGTCAACGTGGATGAAGGAATCGGGGGGGATGAAGCGCTCGTAGTTGGCTCTGCGGGGTCCGAGGACGACGGGCACGGCGCTGGCGGAAAAAGCGTTTCTCCAGAGCTTCTCGGTGATGTAGTCGGTGTGCTGGGAGTTCTCGAAGGCCAGGTAGAACTTGTAGGCTGAGACGGTCTCCACCAGGCCCCCCTCGGCCAGCGCCAGCCCCCGCGCTCCGTACACGTCGATGGGCAGGTGCTCCTTCAGCTGGCGGTAGTAGCGCACCCGGGCGTGCTCCTCGTTCCAGTTGCTGATGACCCAGGCCACCAGCCGCGTCTTGCGGGGCAGGACGAAGGGCCGGGGCGCCGGCGGGACGTAGAGGTACCCGTAGGGCACGAACACGTCCGAGTCGCGGCGGTAGGACATGGTCCAGTTGAAGAGCCCGGCCAGCCCCCGCAGGCCGGGCGAGTGCGACGGCGACTCGAAGTTCATCCACACCCAGCGCTGGCGCGGGGGCCGCGGCGGGGACCCTCGGGGCATCCCCTCGGCGCCGTGCCGCACCAGGTCGCGGTGGTGGAACAGCACCGCCTGC